GGGGGCCACCACCCGCGGGCAGGGTTCCCGAGACTTGGGGGAGGTGCACCGAGGGGCTTTGGACACGAGGACTGGATCAGGCACAGCAGCCGATGGCTTTTGGTTTGGGGTTTTTTGGTTTTTTTTTTAAGTGGTTACGCCTCCTCCTTGAACGTGCATAAACACATTGTCTGCTGGTGCGTTAAGAAGTGTTGCCCCACTCTTGTTTGCCGCTCGCCCGTTCCAGCTGACGCCCACTGGTTCTTACACCAGAAGGTGCTTGCTCCCCGTATCCTCCCAGTGTTCTTACAGACCTCAGGACCCCCCCGGCCTGGCTGCTGAGCCCCTCTCTGTTCAGCCTGTTCTCCCCAGGCCTCCCTGTAGCCAGCGCTGTGAAATAACTTTAGGAGGGGCTCCCTGAGAACGCCCCCGTGAGAAGCCCAGGGCAAAGCTAAAGAAGTGGTTGGGAGGTAAGAACTGGCTCCAAGTGAAACACACGTGTCAGGGAAAGTCAGTCATTATTCATTACTTAAACCATGACCTGGTTTCCAGAAAAGCATCAAAACATTTCCCCTTCAAGCTTTGTGTTTGCACCTTTGTCAGCCCTCAGGACATGGCGTTGCTGACTACGGGCAGTTCAGGGGGTGATAAGAGACCACGGCTCCTGCAGGAAGGGCCGGGCTGCACAGGAAGGGAAAGCTCAAAATAAAAACTTACAGCTTTAGAATGGGCGAGTAAGTTGTTGGCACAGCCCCCGAAGACGATCACCTCTCCCTCTTCACTTGCACAAGCGGTATGCCACAACCTAGAAACAGAAGTCAGCGCTGCGTTAAACCAAAACACCACCCCGCCCCAAAATGCATGTTTAGGATTTACATTTAAAGTTAAAAGACGTGCAAATTTGCCCTTGCGGCAGTACGCTGCAGACGTGACTTAATTCAACAGGAGTTTACGTTCAGAGAAAGAAACCCGGTCAGCAAACGGCAGGCTGCGTGAGGCGTCCCGCGGGGCGAGAGCGGGGCTGCGGGGCTCAGCGGCACGCTGCGAGCGCAGGCACGCGTGTCACCCACGGTCCTGTCGCTTCTGGAGGCTGGCTGTAACGATCTGCTTGCAGACAGTTTTGTTTTCATCTCCCACTTCAGGAGCACAGTCGGTTAGATTCTGTATTGCTCTCCAAAAACTCGGGGAAACAACTGATCTCACAGCTGCGTTCCGCAACAACGCGTCACTTGTCCTCTGCTCCAAAGGGGAGAAAGGGGCGGGGGGGCAGCAGCTCAGGCCTGTCACCGCCGCAGCAACACGGACCCCCCCTCATCCCCACCAGCAGCGAGAGCAAGGCCAACGGGGGCAGGGCAGGAAGCATCGCTGCTCTTAGCTCATTTACCCTCGGATCAGAACGCTTCCCCCAACAAGTAGGGGGCCAGCTGTGTTAGGACAAGGGGAAATGGTTTTAAACTAGAACAGGGTAGGTTCAGGCTAGAGGTAAGGAAGAAATTTTTTACAATGAGGGTGGTGAAACACTGGAACAGGTTGCCCAGAGAGGGGGTGGAGGCCCCATCCCTGGGAACATTCAAGGCCAGGTTGGACGGGGCTCTGAGCAACCTGATCTAGTTAGCAGTGTCCCTGCTCACTGCAGGGGGGTTGGACTAGATGACCAGGAAGACAAAATTATCCGGGGTGTGCCGGCGATCAGCCACCAGCGAGGATGCTCTGGCAGGGACACCAGCCTGCGGCCGGTTTGCTGGCAGAACGAGAACGCGCAGGTCCCAGTTAGCCCTTGACGCTGGCACTCGCAGCGCAGACGCCTCTGCAGCCAGGAGATCAACCCCCAAATCCCCGTGTCTCCTGCTGTTTCACGGACCCCGAGCTACACGCTACCTCCAGCACCAGTCCCACAGCGGTGTTCGCCTTGCGTTGGGCGCGTACGGGCCTGCACGCCTGGGGTAGAAGCTAGCACTCGTGTCGCTAAGAAAAAGGAGGGCCGTACAGAGGAACGCGTGCCCTCCCTCTGACAGCCAACACGAAAAGCTGCCTCGCTCTTTTTAAGAAGTTTCCAAGGGAAGTGTCTGCCGTACCTTGGTTTTTCAGAATAGTTATGCTCAAACTGTATCCACTCGTTCTTGCTGATACAATAAATCCAAGCATCACCTGAAAACAAGCACAACCCCAAGTACGAACAGTACTCTGTTAGTTCTTCGACGTTTGCTGCAATAAACGCACTCTGGTGTAAGACAGTCCATTTTTGTTCTTAAATAAATCAATTTTTTAGGAAAAACCCTACGGAACTTCGGACTGTCTATTTGAAAACAGCCCTTTCATAACGGCTTACGGGAGCCAAGTCAGAAGGGGAAGATGGAGAACTGTAAAGCATTCACTAATCGCCATTTGCATTAGATACACTGCTAGAGCAGATTAATTTCTGTAAATAAGAGGGTCTCAACACGCCCAGCGCCTCCTGCTCTGTGAAATTAGCTGGTGGCCATACAGAGCTGGATCATAAGTGCACGGGAGGAATTTAGAAAGAATTTAAGATGACTACACAGTAATTCAAGCTCCTGTGCACAACTCCTGAAGAACACAAAGGCAACACAAAATCCTTCTGGAAGGACTTACTTAACGGCTGCTTGTCAGTGGTGAATCCTCCAAAGAGAAAGAGGTGGTCTGAGGAAATGGGTGTTAAAGAGTGCCACGATCGGCCAACTGGGCACATGCCTTGTGTGATTCTGTATTTCAATAAAAGCACCATAAATTACACGTGTGCTACAATAAAATACTGCTGCTCTTTTCTGCTCCGATTATTTTTCAGGTATTCGAAGGCTGCAGCTTCATACTGTGCACAGCCCATGACCCAGCAGCAAGTTTAATTTCTTAACTCCAGCAAGTTTAATTTCTTAATTTCAGCAAGTTTAATTTCTTTAGATGCAGTAAAAGAATTTTACTCTTATCAAATACTTAAAAAAACCTGACAGCAAGAGGAAGCAACTGACCAGGAGGATCAGTTCTACTCGAGTTTACTGGCTCGCTGGAGTTTACCAAGTTTCACTAGAATGATTAGAAGTGAATAAAACCGGCATCTTCATCCCGCTTTACAAGCAAAAGAACTCCAGTTTTAGTACCTACATTTCATTCCACTCCCACGTATCCAAATTCAGGTAGTAAAGATCGTTCATTCTGGACTCCTACAACAAAGCAGACCATGGGTGAAATACTCCGTTCGGGTTTCAGCAACGCATCGTTCAGCTGGGCCGGGGCTTACTCTGTATCTGCCACCGAACACGTAGCCTCGGTTCCCGACTGTCGCGCAGGCGTGAGCTGCTCGCGGTGACGGAGTTTTACCCTGGGAAAAGAAAATGTGAAATGAGAAGGTAAGTTTATTCGATGCACTAACAAAAGATGGAGGATCATTAAAAATGTTGGGGTTTTTTCCCCCTCTTGGAGTGTCAAGGTACAAATTTTGATTTTAGAAGAGGGTTCAGGCAGTCAGAGAAGACCTCAGGCTGTAAATAGGACAATGACATAATAGATCATTAAACAGGATTTTTCTTGAGTTACTTCTGAAACACTTAAGATCTGTATGCAGTAAGACAAAACAATTTCTTGGTAATCTGAATAAGGAGTTACTTATCTCAAATTTCATTTCCTCCAATTCTGTGGCAATATCCCTCCATTTGCCTGTTCCAGAATGCTTCTGGGACACTTCAAATGGTGTGTATTTGCCATTAGGGAGTGTTTCTTTTTGGTTTGACCACAGTTCAGCACCCAAGTGAAATGTACCAAACCGTCGCGTTACAGTGAGGATGACAGGAAACCATGCATTTTGTTTTCCTGAGCTCCCCACGAGCACAACGCCACTGAGGCATGAAAGCAAGCAAGGCAACCGGAAAAAAGACGAAGGGAGAAAGACAGATCAAAATAAAAGGCAAGTTTCCCATTTTTGGAGAGGAGAGGGGATTTAAGTAAATGAATGGTTTAAATTCAGTTTAAATGACCTCAAGAATGCTACTGAATAGGCAGTGGGTAATTTTTACTGTGAGGGGATGTTTCCAAGGCTAGTTCACAGAATAGAATCATAGAATGTTTTGGGTTGGAAGGCACCTCTAGAGGTCATCTGGTCCAACCCCCTGCAGGAGCAGGGACACCTTGAACCACATCAGGTTGCTCACAGCCCCGGCCAACCTGGCCTGGAATGGTCCCGGGGCTGGGGCCTCCACAACCTCCCTGGGCAACCCCTGCCAGGGTTTCACCACCCTCACTGGAAAGATTTTCTTCCTTAGATCCAGTCTAAACCTACCCTGCTTCAGTTTAAAGCCATCCCCCCTTGTCCTGTCCCAGCTGGCCCTATTAATTCTACCAACAGTGTTTCAAACCCCTCTCTTCACTGTCCTTCCCCTCCAAGCACATTGTGGGAAAGACCGCAAACACAAGCTAACGACACCTCACGGAGTCCATATGTAGGAAGAGAAATTAACAGTCCCACCTCGCGGGCAAGAGAGCAAGGTACAGGGAATGAAGATGGCTCACTCAGGAAGCGCGAGAAGGGAAGAGAGCCCTGGTCACACAGGCCTAAGCTTTAGCTCCTGGTCAGGTTCCCTCCCCTGGCTGGATCAGACAGACCGCATGTCCCAGGAGGGAAGCTGGAACAGCAGAAACCAGCAGAGCCGCAGACGCAGCGCTTCGTGCCAGCCACGGCTTAGAGCGAGCGGCCCGTGAGCCGTCCCACGGAGAAAACACACGTAGCAAGCACCACTGAGACAAGATCAGCTCCACGCGGTCCGTTTGTGGCGTCCCAGTCTCATGGCCCTGCAAGGCATTTCTCTCACCCTCCTGCTAGCTAGCACTAGGTATTTCGGAGGGCTCTTCCTTTTTTTTTAACTCCTGGCATTAAGGGACTGGTTTATATCCTGAAGAAGGCAGGATCACAGAGCACCTGACAAATAAACACTTGGCAGGTAAAGACTGGTGACATGTGAACAAGGCTGCAGGCTGGAACAGGAAAGTAGAAAACTGTGTTTTGGGTGAATTTCTGTGCTTCTTGCTTGCAAGCAAGTTAACCACATCTTCTAAAATAATACCAGGGAGATACAGACTAGAGATAGGACCCCCCCATGAGACACAACCCGTTAAGACAGCTTCACGCTGCAGGTTAACCGAGCACACAGCCAGGCGCTCAGAAGATCTGCGGCCCAAAGCCACTGCTGCTGGGACAGGCCACTACTAACCCCGCACAGCTGCACGAGGTTAGCAGCACCCTCTTCTAACTTGGCACAAATTCAAGCAGTGAGCCCCGGCCTAGCAGAGTCACGCTCGTTTTCACAGGATGCTACAAGAGATATGGCACACCGTGCACGTATTTCTTAAGAGCTGTAACTTAATTAGCTGACATAAGACTCGTAATTACCGTAGTTATAGGCTGGCTCCAAGTGAAAGTTTCAGTGTCCAGAACGTGCACGTGGTCGTTCCACCCTCTAGGAAGACCTGAATTCTTTAAAAATATTAAATAAGCAACAATTTTTAATAAGCACTAATTAAATACTGAAGTTTAAATAGAAATTACTTCCAGGTTTACTTACCCAAAAAGAGGTTTCATCAAATTCAAAACTTCCCCGTTGCTTCCCTTCAGGAAAATAACCATAGCCTCCAAAAAATATTAGCCTGAAACAAAACATGCATCAAGATCTATTAGAAACGCTAGCACGTCCGTTGCTACAAATTAAAGTTCTGTAAAGGCTGTGCTCAGGAAAACCAGGGAAGCTCCTTTGGCTTCACTACTTCCAATACGTCTACAATGCAGGTTTTCCAGGTGTGGGGCCCTGTTTCTTGCCTAATCGACCCTACCACCCACATTAAATCCCTCTGTAGCTGTTTCCCAGGCCCCAGGCTTCCAAGCTTTGCTCCGGTTCCAAATACGTGAGGCTGCCAGGCCTTGTTGCCTGGTCGCTGTGCTTGAGCCTTTGCTATAGGAGCTCCCACGCAGCGGCTACAGGTGTTTATTCCTGCATTTTCCTGCCTCCACCCTTTCCACACCCTCCTCCCGCTTTCCCTGAGCCCGAAATGTTCGCAGGCACTCCTGCAAGAAGCAAAGGGAGTGCATTCCAACTTGGGCATGGTGACTGCAGAGTTGTGTGCTAGGCAAGGCAGGGCAGGAGGCGGCCAAGGGACGCGCCGTGCAGCAGACCCTCTCTACCCAATGAAGCTGCCTGGGAAGTTTTTAGTTTTGGGGGAGGAAGATATTTTCCTTTGTACTTGCTGCATTTTGTTTCAAAGCCTGAAGAACAGTTACTATGAGCAGTCACTCATCTGTTTCTACTGTTCTTTTTGGGGTTTTTTAAATGTAATTTACCTTTAATTTCTATGGGTTTTTATTAGAAACTAACAGCATGGGTTTGCCAGAAATTCTCCTTGAATTATGAATTAAGAGAAAACAATCTACACCACCTCACTGAACACCCACAACTCCAGTCTTGCACAGATTTACATCTAAACTGATCACATCAAGTATCATAACAGTAAGCTTTCTCTCCACCTCAAGACTCTGAAAACTACCACCACGGGCAATTTCCTCTCTTTCATGAGTCTCTGCAGCAAATTCCACAGCAAATGTCATAACAGTGAGCTTTCTCTCCACGGAATGGACAAAGGGGCACAGCCATCTGTACAGCACAATCACCACACGTGGTTCAAACACAAGGACGTACAGCACCCCTGATTTCCTCTGCCTCAGTAGAGCCAGAGATGACACAGTCAAGACCAGTTGCGCTTACAGGCAGATGATGGCTGTGCTGTCCAGGTAAGGTTTGGTAGGTAACAGCTTAAACCCCTACCCTGATGTGACAAGACAGCGAGAACCTGTAACCCTCTCCAGTTGTGACCAAAGAACTAGAGGCTCCTGAGCGTCACCTCGTATTTGCATCAGACCTCCTCCGCCCCTGGCATCACGTACCCCCGCAGCACTGCCCATGCTGGGTGCCTGGCCCACAGCCTGTGGAGAGTCCTGCTCTGTGGGGATTGACCCTTCCAGCCTCTCCTGCAAGGGGACAATTCTGGCCATGTGAGCTGTCACCTGTGCCAGAGCATTTTGGAGTTCTGTTCTTTGGAAGCCAGGAACCCTCTGAGAAACCAGCCCTGGGCAGATGTGCCAAGAAGAGAGCCGAAAGCCCTGACCTCCCCTGAGATAATTCACTTCCATCCCCAGCCTGCTGAGCAGCTGGGATACAGCAAGCCTGTGGAAGCAGGAACTACCTGCCTACAACAGGGGCTCTCCTCAGTCTCTCCTCCAGTGCCAGAAGGCTGGAACAATCTCATCCCACAGCTCCCTGCTTAGGGCACTAGCACTACACTGAGTGGGGGAGGAGGGTGCAAGGCAACAACAATGTTTTGCACCTCAGCTCATCTGGCTTCAACACCTTCTCCCTGTCTTCCTCATCTTTTCCAAGGTCTGCAACGCCAGAAGGCTGCCTGGCATCCCAGACGACCTCTAGGGGTCCCTTCCAACCCAAAACATTCTATGATTCTATGATCCCTGGGACACTACCTCAACACATTAAATCCGATAACATCAACAGCAGTTCATCTAACACATTCTCTAACATCTAAGACAGTTCATCTGACACACCAAATTAAGCATGTGCATCGTTGAAAGAGCCACACGCAATTTTAAGATTAAAATGGCTTCCTGCTCTTCAGCCATCAAAGAAACCCAAGCTGCCCCACAAGACACAACCGAAAGACTGCATTTTGTGTGATACAGGGGATCCTAGAACAGGCTTCTGTGAAGAATCCCCGATGGAATTGCCAAGAGGAATGACGTTAATACAAGTAACCACGATGCAGTGTCTTTAAAGCCACCTACTGAGAATGCACCGTGGAAGATTTGCCTGTAATGAGCAAATGAGCATTTTGGGTTGTGACTCACACAGATACTTTGTGGCTCACATATACCCAAATTGGGAGTGAAGTTTTTCGCTTATCAACCTTTAAAGGATGGAACGGTTTTAAAAGGCTGGCTGAGGAAGAAATCCAGCATCTTCCTGATATGTGCTGCAGGCGAGAAGTCCTTCTGCAGCTTTCGTTCAAACAAAAAGACACAACAATGACAAGACTAAGAGCGATTAAAAGCAAACACACGCGCAAGGATAGCTGTGCTGACTTCGTTGCTGGAGCCTTACTTGTTTTTGTAAACCCAAACGCCAAGTTTGTCCTTTGATGAAGGGGGTACCCCCTGACACTCTACTCTGACCCACTGCAGCACTTTGTCCGTGGATCTGGAATTTAACATGTAGAACTGTAGAAAATAAAAAGATTTTTTTTACCCACACAGTTAGCTTAAAGCTTCAGTCTGACTGATGTTAAAACGTTAACTTTCAATTAGCATGTATTGGTATAGAAATACTTCAAAGTTCTTTCCCCAGTTGCACAGAGCACTGACAATGTCCGGAACAAAACATGGATCCAAAGATCCTTATCTTATTGCAGACGCAAGCCCCAAACACTTTTTTACAAAAACTACGGACATTGGGTTGTACCATCCAAAAGCTGAAATGGGATACAACGAAGGTGTGTACAAGAGTAGCAATTGTCTTACAATAAAAAAAAAAAAAAAAGTGGTTTTTTTATGGTATCATCCATTCTCTGCACGTTACATCATTTTCCATGGTCAGAAATAGCTGATACACATATATAAACTAACTGAAATGTAAGAATACCACAGCAGGAAGGAAGCAAGTCACACCTTACACATCTAGTTTTTTTTCAGACTGTTTGCAAGCATCGCATCAAGCTACTTTCAGTTTATATTTAAGAGCTAGGCCAAAAAACCGGTTTGATTTAAACCATGTTTCCAGAACACCAGAAAATATTATCAGAGGCTCCAGAGAAGAATAACATTTCAAACACCTACAGAGCAGTTACAGATCACCTCCTGATAATTACTTCAGTGAACTCTGGAAATTCCCAGCTTCCAAAAGAAGGAAACTCAAAAGCACCGACGCAATATAATTTCTAGGGCGAATTGCTCAAGAACAACTGCAACCAAAACAAGCGATAGGTCACGGTGTTTCTTCAGTGGTGTACAGTGGAGTACAATCATCGTGTGAAATGATGCGGAGCTGAAGGCTGACCTGTTTTACAAACGTCACGTTATCTGACCTGTTGCAGAGAAATTAATACACTGAGCTGGCCAAAATCAGCCAGCTAACCACCTGCAAGGAAAAAAAATCCAAGCGGTAAGCGCCGTATTTTGTTAGTCAAAACCTCTTAGGCAAGCACAAAAAGAACACAGCTTCAATTAGTTCACATCTGGGGAAGCCACTGACAGGATGAGAAAGCTGCTTATCTGCTTCCAAGAACTAGAGATACACCCAGTAGGCGAAAATATTATGCTGCAGAAGCCATGGAGAACACAGTGACTGGATACGCGTTCAGCATCCCCTGTTATTAGCATTTAAGCTCTGTAACAAGATCCAACCTGTCTAGTCATTCAGAAGAAAATGTTTCCTTCATTTGTTAAGATTATACATTTCTTGCTTTGGATGGATTTTAATTAACTGGAAAGGCCACCTCTAGTTTATAAAAAATGGGAACAAAAGCTAATGAGGAGAAACTTAGTTGTGAGGAGGGGTTTAAATTACTAACCTTGTTTGTATTGCCGCGTGCATGATGTCCTCCAAACAGGTACACCACTCTGTCTACACACACGGCACAACTTCCAGACATGGAAGGTGGAACATCTCCCTCTGTTTTACTCTTCTTCCTAGAAGTGCAGTTTAAAATATTTTATCTGATGAAAATGAACAATAATGATTTTATCTGGAGTGGAATTTTATAACACTACCAGTATGTTTTTAATTACGATAGGTCGTTCAGTTACGACTTCTTCACACCCCTGCAGGTTTAACAATTTACAACCCTAACCTGGTATGATGGAGAGGGGGTGTGGAAAAGGCAATTTAATTAACACATGTTTTGTGGGGGAGGAATCCTGTCTGCCCAGTTCAGCAGTTTGGTATGCCTTTCACGTTCAGAACCCCAGAAAAATCCTCAGGCAAAGAGGACGGACCTGTCTAAACTAAAGGTTTCCATTGTGCTGTGGGAATTTTAATGTTTGTAAACATTACAACCACAAAGGTGAGCTTCCAGCCCATGTCCAAGGCTCTCCCTAACCACGAGGACTGGAAGCACTGCTGAAATTGCACCTTCTGCAAAGCGCTGAGGGGTCTTGGCACGAGGCCCGAGCTAGCTACTGAACTGCGGCGCAGGATTCCCTTGCACTCTCAGGCACGCAGGTTTCAAACAACTTCCAGCCTCCCAGTGATCTAAAATGGCTACATCAACATTTAAAAACAACATCTTAGAAGGACAACAAATAAAAAACTCAGTATGGGTTCCCTCACCAATGTACCACTGTAATCAAAAGCGGTACAAATACAATTTTCAGGTGCTATATCCCATACCAGGGAAAACACTTCACACTGTTGATCACATACTCCTGCACAAGCTGCCTGTCCGAGCTGCCTTTCCTACTTCAGCCAGTGAAAAAATATTTGTTGTTTTCACAGAAAAAAAAATAATTTAGAAATATTTTACACATTTATGCAACAGTTTGATAGGTGGGAACAAAGAGATCAGGGAATTCTCTCTGTTCACAGACCCTCAGCATGCTTTCTACACCAATTTAAGAATTTGTTCTTCACCCCAAACCAACAATTAGTTATTTACTGTACCATCTTCCAGTTTCCATGTTGTAGATCCATATTTCATCTCTAGGCAGATAGAAGTCATAAAATCCCCTAACCTGGGCATTCTGCAGAACAGGTCAGAAAAGAAAAAGCAACATCAGAAGGATGCTTGACACAAAGAGTTACAGATTCCTGTGAATGTCTACAGCCCCTCAGAGATCTAATCATGGAGCAGAAAACAGCAGGAGCAGTGCCTGCCGCACCCCTGTACCTCTCACCTGCCCAGCAGCTCTTGGAGAGCAGGTATGAGCCTATTTCAGCTTCTGCTGGGGACCAGACAAGCTCCCAGCAGAGCCAGAGACTGGGGTAAATGGAAGTTAAACCTCCTTTTCATAGCCCAAGCAGGGTATCTAGGGTGCATAAATCAGCCAAAATTTCCTTTTTAGCTCCCCTACCCCCTGCATGACACCACCAGAACAAGCCACTCAAACTTTGTCTTAAGCTACCAAATTATTTACTGAGCTCATTGACAATTCATCTTCATTCCTGTCAAAACTGTAAAATGACTCGGTTCTGCTTGCAGTACACGCACACCCCAGTGTGATAACTAACCAACCCGTGATCGTTAACAATATACAGTTGTGCTGCTAACGCGGTAAATAAAAGCACCATTTCGCACGGTATGCATTTCAAATCAGACACGATTTCCTTCTCTTCCAACAGACCCGCGAGTTGACAAAGGCAAACGACACGCTGCATTCCACAAAAATTATCTGTTTGCCAAGATCTGCATTTAACATTCACGGTTTATTTCAGAACTCTTAAATGTTATTTTCCAATTCAGTAACTGGAGCTTTGCTTTTCCAGGGAAGGGATAATTTTACAGAGTCACTCCCAAACTAATGGGACGTAACTACCAGCACCATGGGTGTCAGAAGACTTACTTAACAAGGAGAGCAGCGTACCTTATAGCCTCCCCAGACATACATGCAGCGTCCATCAGTGACTGCCACGTGCCCGCTGCGCTCAGCAGGGCTATCGTTCTCCAGCTGCTCAAAGCTGTCCTCAGCTGGAGCCGGGAGCTCTTCATCTGCCTGCAGGTCTTCGTTATCATCGGCCATTTCGATACAGTGCTACGTGCACAGAATAACACACAGCGTGGAGCTTTGAGAACCATCAGGGGACACCACCAGAGGAAAAAAAAACCCAACGAGAAACTACACACTGTTTCTTTCACTGTGATGTTTCAGTGGAAGAAGTTATCCCATCAGTCAAGAAAGTTTCAGATGGGGATTCCTTGGCTGTGTGTAATTTTTATTGTTTCAGTTGCCAATTTAAGCCAAGGTCTCTATCTTTTGTTAAAAATCACACTTATCTATAAATATATTAATTGATGACCAAAAAAACCAACCCACAGCAGAATAAATTTGAAAGCTTTGCCAACAGTATAGTTTTCACAAAACTGAAAACTCCTGCAGCTTTTCAGGCAAAGTCCCATTGGGTTGCCTAAGCCAAGTCTCCCACGCACAAACCCTTCCACAGCTGTTAAATGCAGGACACGTTGCCTATGCTAAAAAACCCCCTCACAAAACAAAGTCCCTTGCCCCAAATCATACTGGTGCGCAGAAGGCCAAAAGCCAGTGTGTCCTGGAAAGACAGCATTGGTTCTCCAGGAGCCCCAGGGCCACGCTGTCACTGGGGTCACTGGTCATTCAAAGCCCCAGCTGTGGAGGAATCGAGTCAGGAGGAGCCGCTGAAGTCAGCCCTGCCAGGTCATCTGGGAAGCTGCCTGCACGCTCTGCCTGTGAGGGAGCAGGGGGAGCCCTGAAAAGCCAAAGTCGCCTTCCAGTTAGGAGCTGCTGCCATGTCCCCTTCTGCTTTAGCTTTCCTACAGCTGTGAGTTGAAACCGTCACCACACGAAGATCTTCAGACACAGATCAAAAGGTCAGGAACGTTGGGACAGTCCAAGCAATGGTTTTGTGCGACCAGGCAAAGCAAGAGAAGTGAAAAGGACCTTAACGAGACTATCAAACCCTGCACTGCACTCATGCAAAATCCTTGGCACCTACACCACCCTGACTGACTGTCATTTATCACAGAATGGTTTGGGTGGGAAGGGACCCCCAGAGGTCACCCAGCTCAACCCCCCTGCAGGAGCAGGGACACCTTGAACCACATCAGGTTGCTCACAGCCCCGGCCAACCTGGCCTGGAATGGTCCCAGGGATGGGGCCTCCACCCCCTCTCTGGGCAACCCCTGCCAGGGTTTCACCACCCTCAGGGTAAAGAATTTCTGCCTTAGATCCAGTCTAACCCTACCCTGCTTCAGTTTAAAGCCATCCCCCCTTGTCCTGT